GAAAAAATACATATATCTCTATCTATGCTTTGTTTGAAGTCACTTTGCGTTGCATCTTACAGGTAAAGTAAAAGTCTGGCAGCCCAACAACAACTACATAACACTTTGAGTAGTTTTATCAGACTGCTTTGTGGCGCTGAAAGCTGCTCTTTTCTCTTTCTCCTCTTTGTGTTCATCTTCTTGCCTCCTCATGATGGTATCATGGAAACATGGTCACAGTGTGCATCCTGCATCACTTCCTCGTCCGTCTCCACGGCAGCACCCGCCCCCCACCAGTAACAGCAGATGTATGCACAACACTTGTGCTGGGGCTTTTTGCTGAGCCACAGCAAATGGGATGGAAACCAAGTGACATCACCATAAACTTGAGTTAGATAGAAAATTGACACACCACACCAAACTCTGCGTGTTACAATAACTGTGTCATCGTTTTGGTTCCTGAAGCACCACGACCATATGGAGCCTTGTTTTGCTCGTCATCAGATCTAATGTGCACATTAAGGTTAGCCACATGATCATCCAAGACTGTAATTTCCTGCCATTGTAAATCTATTCAAAAGATTGTCAATTAATTCAAATACACTAGTCCACAACAGGGTTTTCCAAACTCAGTCCTGGAGCCCCCCCGGGAGCACGCTTTGGTTTTTGCCATAGCACATCACAGCTGATTGGGGAGGGGAGGTGGGGCAGGACCGAAATTGAGAAACGCTGGTCTACAAGATGCCCCACAATTCAGAGAAATTCTCAAATGTAATAACATTACATTATGTGGCTCTAGTGAGATATCAGCCAGCTGTTTTCAGAGCTCATCTAGGTTTGGTGATTTATCTTTGACACTTGGTTTAAAATGTCGGCACATTATGAAATGAATAGAAAGCTTCATAAATAGCAAGATATATAAATAGAAAGGTTTTAACTGGTGGAGATGTCTTTTAATGATGACGATGGTGAGGAAGATGATCACGACGATCACTCATTGTTCACCCAGTCAATAGCATAGGCATTCTTCCAGTAGAGGGTTTTAGCGCTGAAACATAGTATATTTTCACTTTCTCTCTTTGCCTATACTTGTTGTGCCTCTGTTTAGCTAGCATGTCAGTCTTTGGCAGGGGTGTGATTACTAGACAGCTTGATTCACAGTTCTGATTCATTAGCTTCATGTGCCAACGCCGCCATGTAGCCTCATCAATCGCACCCCCAGTGCAAAGTGGCTGCTTTTCTTTCTTACCTGCCCATTACGTTCTGTGTGCTCAATGCAATTATCTAAAACAATGACACACAATGACATAGAAAATACACAGCTACAATGGCATTTGTATTGCTTCGTTTTCTGTTAAAATAGCAAAAATATGAAGATTTACCGTTAATCTATATTCGGTGGAAAATGTCTGGGGTTTACACTTTGCACACAAAACCCTGTCTTGGTTACCGTATGGACCAAAGGAAAAAATAAGTATTTTCTCTCTGGCATTTAGGTTTTAAGCAAGCATATTTTTAGCTTGGATATGCAAACAAACACAGGCTTATAGCCACACACACCTACACGCACGCCTGCCCGTACTGTACACATGCTCAAACACAACCACACACCACACATGTATTCGCACGCACATCACCCATACACTCATGCACACGCATACACAGGATGGAAGGAACACACACATTGGTGAGAAACTAGGTTATCATAGCAGCCATTATTGCTGCAGCGTATATAGCTTACAGAGCAAGAGAACATGTTTCAAGGAGTCCTGGGACGTGGACTACCAAACACACACACACACACAATATACAGAGACTAAAATATGTTGATTTCTGTCATCACCATCCTAACCTCATTGTGAAGACACAAGTTATTGTGTCAAGGCTAAAACAACCTCCCTTGTTTTTTGGCTAGAAAATGCACAGTACAATACATTTTGTTCTCTCTAAGACAGGTCAGGGCATACTTTGAAAGGTCAAGATAGCATAAAAACCTTTTACTAAAACACTTCTGTCACAATATGACATTTTACGACATTCCATTGCACACATTTATGAATATTTATACATATATGATCAATTCCGTTCATGCCCAGAGTCCTCAAGTGAAACATACACATTTTAATATTTGTATATTTTAGTAGACGCTCTTATCCAGTGTGACTTACAGGAGTTATTAAGGTTAAGTGCCTTGCTCAAGGACACGTTGACAAATGTTTCACCAAGTCAGCTCTGGGATTAGAACCAGTGACCTTTCGGTTATTGGCCCAACCGCTAGGCTACCTGCCAAATGGAATAACATAGCTATATAAAGAGTTGTAGTTGGAACAAAGCCCGCCGCACAAAGAGCATGCGCATTACTCATCCCCCACAATGAAAGAAGTGACGCTTCAGTGTATTGTGGGTGGACCATGGTGGGTGGAATATGGTGGGTGGGGCAGGGTTGTGTGTAGAAGTTAGGGAACTGCTCTGTTACCACATGATTCCAGGTCTGCATCCCAAATGGCATCCTATTCCCTATATAGTGCACTACTTTTGATCAGAGTCCTATGGGCACCGACCAAAAGTAATACACTAGGGAACAGGGAATCATACCAGGTTCACTCTGACTGTTCACTCTATGCACAGTTCTAGCTCCAAAACAACCTCCTGTGTTGCCAGCATATTGTTCAGCCTCCCAACCATCAGAGTCCTAATTAGCGTCTCCTCTGTTAAAGCCAGTACTGTATAAGAGGCCAGACAGTTAAGTTATGTCTGGTTGCAGAGCAGCTGCACTTTAAAAGCCAAGTGGGATAACCAGGTTCGTGGAAACCAGACATATTGTCTGTCCCGTAACATTTTACCCGCACCCAACCTTCAGGGGCATAGACTCAGAGGGGCACACACACAGACCCGGCAGATTTATAGAATAAGTGGGAGGCGGGGCTGGTGTGATCAGACGCACCTGCAGTGAGTTCGCTTATCAGACAGGTTGCTGGGGATTGGTTGTTGTTTCCCTTTAAAACCTTGTGTTATTCGTTGTTCCTGTCGGGGAACTGAGCGGAGAATGCCTCTTAGGCAGCTTGCCTAACCGTTTGCTAAAATATTTGTTGGGAGGGGAACGTTCCCTTACGTAAGTTCCACGGTCTTGTCTGTGTTCTTTTTTTTTCTGTGATTGCATTGGACCAGTGTCTGCGGGACAAGAACTCTTAACCTTAAATTCGGTAGAGGAAGTTAGCAGCTGTGCTGACATCTAGTTGGGGCTGTGAAACTGTAATCCGAAAGGCGAGCAGTGGACCAAGAGAGGTATTGGTACAATGCGCATCTGGGTGTTTTTAGGGCCACCCAGTGAGGGACGTAATTCTTCCTGTGTGTTTCCCTTACACTAGGTTTCCCTCTGAACCATTTTGTAAAACCACTGAAAGCCACCATTGCAGCAGGTTGCCCTGCGGAATCTCTTTCTCGTTCCCAGTGCCGGAGGCAGCGCTATCAGTGACTTCGCCAGGCAGAGTCCCAGACCGGATGTGTTCCAGACCAGGAGCTGTGCGGCCTTCTGCAGATCGCCAGAGAGACATTTATTTTAGATTTTTGTGGGGATCAGGTTTTCATCAGGCCCTAGAAATCGAGAATTTATCCCCACCCTCTATACTACATGTTGTCCTGTCTCTTTCCCTCTCCCCATTTGTCCCATAGCAATTGAGGGTCCTTTCAGAGGGGTGGGCAGAGTAGAGCAGCACCAGAGTGAGATTTGCAGTGCCTTTCACCATATTGTTTTCAATCCCTTCCATTATAATAAAGATATTGTTTGAAATGCCCTATCATAATAATTCAGTGTGTAGTGTCTTGCAGTATGTCACTTTTGTGGGTCATACTACTTATCCTGGAAGTAACCTACCTGGGGAGAGGCTCAATTGTGCTGACGCAGTCTGGGGAATAGTACAGTCTGCTGTGGGAGGTGGGAAAAGGGGGTCCAGTATGTTAACCTATGAATTTGGAATAAAACTTGCCTTAGAGCATACTTACCTGTCCTGGTCTTCTGTGTTGGGGTTGTGTGCTGGATACCTTTAAATCCTGTGTTGTGTGGAGTTAAACTGTTAAAGGCACAAACACTTTCTGTCTAAGCCCTCCTTACCTGTAAAGATATGACACACGTACTCTGTAGTTCCTATCTCGGTGCAGAGAAATCTGTGAAGCAGCATGTGGCTTGTCCCAGTTCCTCTACATTACTGTGTGTGGGCCTGATTTGCGTATTGCGACAAGACTGACCCATTTGAATTTAGGCTGTAGATTAATACATTCAGTCTTATACAGAATTCTACAACCAACAGGACTCCTTACTTTTCATCAATTGCTTTAGGTGAGGTGAAGTGATGGACTGACACAAATGTAGTTTTTGCGCACTTACAATCGAAAACAGAATATTTGGCATTTTCTCGCCCCCCCAAAAAAATGTTTTTTGCCAAATATGGCTGAGTATATGGTCCACTAAATGAAAAAGTGTAACAGCACTATTGTGATCATGGCTTTGACAACATCAGATGTGTTGCATTGAGCTCTGGGGGGTGGGTGGGCAAGTAACTAACTACAAGCGGTCAGATCCTGAATCGAAAGCTGGTTGTTGCTTCCTCCTCATTCTCTCGCTGTTGGTCTCACCACTGGATTTATTGCGCGGCAGACGCAAAACCCAATTTTTCCATAGAAATTCGCGTTTCAACGCAGCACAGTACTCGTCTATTCTCATCTCTCAACTCAAACGGTGGTGTGAGACAGAGGACACCTACTGGACGTGGGGTGGATGCCAACAACTGAGAGAAGACTGTTTTTGGTTTAGTCATTGGGCGACAGCAGGAAAGGTGCGCGTGTTCGAATGCTCAGCTGGCAGGGTGTTTTTTCCCTGGCAAGAAAGCGATAGCGGGAGATGCTGCTGGAGTTGCTTTTGCGCCGTTCCGCTCTCTCTGTCTCTCTGGTTTTAATCTTTCCATGTTGGGACAATACATTTGGCGAAGGGAGATGTGAAGAGGCTTAAAGTATGGCATGCAAAGATGGTTTCTGCCAAGAAGGAGATGGTAACTGCGATGTACCCCAGTTACATTTCGACTCTCTTCTACTTTTTCTGCCTGACTGCTTGGTGAGTTCCGAGGCTACATCATCTGGGGGGCTTATTTTTTCCTGTTAGATTGGCGTTGCGCTGGTGCTACTGTCCATGGTCCTGAAGACCCTAGGTGCTGAAATCCGAAAGTGCTGTAATTGAGTGATATGATTGTAACTCCAAATGTTAATTTTGTCATCCATAGCTTGGGTATCGGAGAGGCTGCTGTATTTCACGATAACAAATCATTTTGATTATTTGTGTCGTTTTTCAGTGTAAAGAGAATCTCTGGAACGATAAAAAAGGATGAGAGAATATATCCCGAGAATTTCACACGCATTTTAGACAGACTACTGGACGGGTATGACAACAGACTGCGACCTGGATTTGGGGGTAGGTACCTACCTGAAACAGTGACAGTTTTCGGCTGTCCAATTAGTTTGTATGCTACAGTGGCTCAAAGAGATGGGCGACAATGATTTCCACTATTGTGCCAATGCCTCAAAGCATGGTTCCTCTCTAGGGTTCTTCCTAGGTTCCTGCCTTTCTAGGGAGTTTTTCCTAGCCACCGTGCTTCTACATCTGCATTACTTGCTGTTTGGGGTGTTAGGCTGGGTTTCTGTATAGCACTTTGTGACATCTGCTGATGTAAAAAGGGCTTTATGAATCAATTTGATTCATTGAGTTGTTTAAATGGGCTATGAGGTTGACAGATCAAAATGACATAGTATTTTTCCACCATAGGGCATGAGCTTTTCCATAGCCTACTGTTTCAAATGAAACATGTTGCTCCACTGAGCTACTACCAATGCCTCCCACAGATGTGAAACGACATTCCTTGTTTCAAAAGCTGGTCGTCATGACCTGAATTAACACTTTCTTATAATCACTGCTTTGACCCTTGTGTGTGACTGAAAACGATAGGCTACCTTCAAATGTTTAAGCGAGTTTAGTTATGTAGCCTAATCGCTGTGGGAAAAGCCACTTAATGCACAATTTAAGTAGAAAAGAGTGCAGTGTTGTTTTCTCGTGTGTCAAATCCTCCACGAGCGCCAAGTACCAAACACACGTTAAAAGACTGTATGCATTTAATGAGAATGAATAACGAAAAAGTAAACTATTTTTCGTTAATTACAGCCTTGACATGTGACATGCATGTCGGTGTGTTTAAAAATAGCCTACCTTAGGATACGTCCTTCAACTCCACCCTCAGCAAAATTCTACCTTAGGGCGCGTAAACTTCAGAACTCACCAAGTGTGCATAGGTTAGATACTGATCGGCTTACTCCCAGAAGTTTATGTTTTAAACCTATTTAGCTATGGTTCATTCCAATATATAAAAGCTTAGAACCTGGTGCAGGTTATTAGGTATGCATAAGTTATAGGCTATTTGGGTTTTGGCACACATCTCCACAGCATTATCAACCCAACCTTTGGCCAATGTTAGGCTGTTACTGAGGTTTTATGTTTGACATATTCTTCCATAACAGGCCTACAGGTGAATATAACTAGGTCTACTTAAATTCAATTGAGGATTGGTGTGTAAAGGGTAGCCTAATCAATCAGAACTAGAGTGCCGATAGAAAGTCTACAGACCCATTGGATTTCTTCACATTTTATTGTTACGAAGTGGGACTAAAATGTTTTGTCAATGATCTTCCCAAAATATTCTGTAATTTCAAAGTGCAAGAACAATTCTAACATTTTTGAAAGATTCGTGGAAAATAAAACCCTAATATACCTTGATTAGATAAGTATTCACCACCCTGAGTCAATACATGTTAGAAACATATTTGGCAGAGATTACAACTGTGAGACTTCTTGGGTAAGTCTCATAAGAGTTTTGCACACCTGAATTGTGCAATATTTGCCCATTATTATTTTCAAAATGTGTCACTCTCTGTCAAGGTGTTGGGGATCATGGCTAGACAGCAATTTTCAAGTCTTGCCATAGATTTTCAAACAGATTCAAGTAAAAACTGGCCACTCAGGAACATTCACTGTCTTCTTGGTAAGCAACTCCAATGTATTTGGCTTTGTTTTGTAGGTTATTGTCCTGCTGAAAGGTGAATTCCTCTCCCAGTTTCTGGTTTAAAGCAGACTGAAGCATACCATGATGCAGCCACAACCATGCTTGAAAATAAGGAGGCAGTGATGTGTTGTGTTGGATTTCCTCCAAACATAAGGCTTTGCATTTAGGCCAAAAAGGCTATTCCTTTGCTGTTATTATTATTATTATCATTATTATTATTTTGCATAAATATGCAATGTTCTGTATATTTGTATTCTTCTTTTTACTCTGTCATTTACAGTGGCTTGCGAAAGTATTCACCCCCCTTGGCATTTTTCCTATTTTGTTGCCTTACACCCTGGAATTAAAATCGATTTTTGGGGGGTTTGTATCATTTGATTTACACAACATGCCTACGACTTTGAAGATGCAAAATATGTTTTATTGTGAAACAAACAAGAAATAAGACAAAAAAACTGAAAACTTGAGCGAGCATAACTCTTCACCCCCCCAAAGTCAATACTTTGTAGAGCCACCTTTTGCAGCAATTACAGCTGCAAGTATCTTGGGGTATGTCTCTATAAGCTTGGCACATCTAGCCAGTGGGATTTTTGCCCATTCTTCAAGGCAAAACTGTTTCAGCTCCTTCAAGTTCGATGGGTTCCGCTGGTGTACAGCAATCTTTAAGTCATGCCACAGATTCTCAATTGGATTGAGGTCTGGGCTTCGACTAGGCCATTCCAAGACATTTAAAATGTTTCCCCTTAAACCACTCGAGTGTTGGTTTAGTAGTATGCTTAGGGTCATTGTCCTGCTGGAAGGTGAACCTCCGTCCCAGTCTCAAATCTCTGGAAGACTGAAACAGGTTTCCCTCAAGAATGTCCCTGTATTTAGCGCCATCCATCATTCCTTCAATTCTGACCAGTTTCCCAGTCCCTGCCGATGAAAAACATCCCCACAGCATGATGCTGCCACCACCATGCTTCACTGTGGGGATGGTGTTCTCTGGGTGATGAGAGGTGTCAGGTTTGCGCCAGACATAGCGTTTTCCCTGAAGGCCAAAAAGCTCAATTTTAGTCTCATCTGACCAGAGTATCTTCTTCCATATGTTTGGGGAGTCTCCCACATGGCTTTTGACGAAGACCAAACATGTTTGCTTATTTTTTTCTTCAAGCAATGGCTTTTTTCTGGCCACTCTTCCGTAACGATATTATAACCGCAATCAATAAAAGACAGTACTGTGCAGCCGTCTTCATCGACCTGGTCAAGGCTTTCGACTCCGTCAATCACCGCATTCTTATTGGCAGACTAAATAGCCTTGGTTTCTCAAATGACTGCCTCGCCTGGTTCACCAACTACTTCTCAGATAGAGTTCAATGTGTCAAATTGGAGGGCCTGTTGTCTGGACCTCTGGTAGTCTCTATGGGGGTGCCACAGACTTCAATTCTCGGGCCGACTATTCTCTGTGTATATCAATGATGTCGCTCTTGCTGCTGGTGACTCACAGATCCACCTCTACGCAGACGACACCATTTTGTATACATCTGGCCCTTCATTGGACACTGTGTTAACAAACCTCCAAACGAGCTTCAATGCCATACAGCACTCCTTCCGTAGCCTCCAACTGCTCTTAAACGCTAGTAAAACTAAATGCATGCTCTTCAATCGAATGCTGCTTGCACCCGCCCGCCCGACTAGAATCACTACTCTCGGCGGGTCTGACTTAGAATATGTGGACAACTACAAATACCTAGGTGTCTGGTTAGACCGTAAACTCTCCTTCCAGACTCACATCAAGCATCTCCAATCCAAAGTTAAATCTAGAATCGGCTTCCTATTTCGCAACAAAGCCTCCTTTACGCATGCTGCTAAACATGCCCTCATAAAACTGACTATCATTCCGATCCTTGACTTCGCAATGTCATTTACAGAATAGCCTCCAACACTCTACTCAGCAAATTGGATGTAGTCTATCACAGTGCCATCCGTTTTGTCACCAAAGCCCCATATACTACCCACCATTGTGACCTGTACGCTCTCGTTGGCTGGCCCTCACTACATATTCGTCGCCAAACCCACTGGCTCCAGGTCATCTATAAATCACTGCTAGGCAAATCCCTGCCTTATCTTAGCTCATTGGTCACCATAGCAACACCCACCCGTAGTATGCGCTCCAGCAGGTATATCTCACTGGTCATCCCCAAAGCCAACACCTCCTTTGGCCACCATTCCTTCCAGTTCTCTGTTGCCAATGACTGGAACGAACTGCAAAAATCTCTGAAGCTGGAGACTCTTATCTCCCTCACTAACTTTAAGCATCAGTTGTCAGAGCAGCTTACCGATCACTGCACCTGTACACAGCCCATCTGTAATTAGCCCACCCAACTACCTCATCCCCATATTGTTATTTATTTTGCTCATTTGCAACCCAGTATCTCTATTTGCACATCATCTTCTGCACATCTATCAATCCAGTGTTAATACTAATTTTTAATTATTTTGCACTATGGCCTATTTATTGCCTTACCTCCATAACATACTACGTTTGCACACACTGTATATAGATTTTCTATTGTGTTATTGACTGTACGGTTTGTTTATCCCATATGTAACTCTGGGTTGTTGTTGTTTTTATCGCACTGCTTTGCTTTATCTTAGCCAGGTTGCAGTTGTAAATGAGAACTTGTTCTCAACTGGCTTACCTGGTTAAATAAAGGTGAATTTAAAAAAAAAAAAATTTAAGGCCCAGCTCTGTGGAGTGTACGGCTTAAAGTGGTCCTATGGACTGATACTCCAAACTCCGCTGTGGAGCTTTGCAGCTCCTTCAGGGTTATCGTTGGTCTCTTTGTTGCCACTCTGATTAATGCCCTCCTTGCCTGGTCCGTGAGTTTTGGTGGGTGGCCCTCTCTTGGCAGGTTTGTTGTGGTGCCATATTCTTTCCATTTTTTAATAATGGATTTAATGGTGCTCGGTGGGATGTTCAAAGTTTCTGATGTTTTTTTATAACCCAAACCTGATCTGTACTTCTCCACAACTTTGTCCCTGACCTGTTTGGAGAGCTCCTTGGTCTTCATGGTGCTGCTTGCTTAGTGGTGTTGCAGACTCTTCAGAACAGGTGTATATATACTGAGATCATGTGACACTTAGATTGCACACAGGTGGACTTTATTTAACTAATTATGTGACTTCTGAAGGTAATTGGTTGCACCAGATCTTATTTAGGGGCTTCATAGCAAAGGGGGTGAATACATATGCACGTACCACTTTTCCGTTATTTATCTTTTAGATTTTTTTTTAACAAGTTATATTTTTCATTTCACTTCACCAATTTGGACTATTTTGCGTAAGTCCATTACATAAAATTCTAATAAAAATCCATTTAAATTGCAGGTTGTAATGCAACAAAATAGCAAAAACGCCAAGTGGGATGCATACTTTTGCAAGGCACTGTAGGTCATTATTGTGAAATCACTACAATGTTGTTGATCCATCCTCAGTTTTCTCCCATCACAGCCATTGAACGATGTAGCTGTTTTAAAATCACCAATAGCCTAATGGGGACATCCCTAAACAGTTTCCTGCTTGTCTTGCAGATCAGTTCAGAAGGACGACTGCATCTTTCATGTGTCTGGGTGGTCTAATACATCATCCACAGCATAATTATTAGCTTGACCATGCTTAAAGATATATTCAATGTTTGATTTGTTATTGTTACCCATTCTACCAATCACTGCCCTTCCTTATGAGGCTTTCAAAAAGCTCCCTGGCCTTTGTAGTTGAATCTGTGCTTGAAATTCAATACTTGACTTAGGGACCTTATAGATGTTGTATGTATGGGGGACAGAGGAAGGGGTAAACAAATAATGTCAACCCCTATTATTTCACACAGTGAGTCCATATAACTTATGTGATTTGTTAAGCCATATTTTACTTCTGAACTAATTTAGGGTTGCCTAAACAAAGGGGTTGAATACTTATGCAATGATTACATTTTTGTTATTGAATTTGTATTAATTCGTAAAAATGGGGGAAGAATTTTCTTTTCACTTTGACATTATGGAGTATTTTGTGTAAATCAATGACAAAAAATACAATGACATCTATTTTAATCCCACTTTGTAACGCAACGAAATGTAAAAAAGGTCCAAGGGGGGGTAAACTCTCTATAGGCACTGTCCTTGTCTAAGGTCTCTTCAAATCAATCAATTAATGTGGAAATTGAGCAAGTTGAGGTGACTAAACTGCTTGGAGTAACCCTGGATTGTAGACTGTCATGGTCAAAGCATATTGATACAACAGTAGCTAAGATGGGGAGAAGTATGTCCATAATTAAGCGCTGCTCTGCCTTCTTAACAACACTATCAACAAGGCAGGTCCTACAGGCCCTAGTTTTGTCGCACTTAGACTACTGTTCAGTAGTGTGGTCAGGTGTCACAAAGAGGGACTTGGGAAAATTGCAGTTGGCTCAGAACAGGGCAGCACAGCTGGCCCTTAAACGTACACGGATAGCTAACATGATGACATGCATGTCAGTCTCTCCTGGCTCAGAGTGGAAGAGAGATTGACTTCATCACTGCTTGTTTTTGTGAGAGGTGTCGACGAGCTGAATGTACCGAGCTGTCTGTTTGGAATACTGGCACACAGCTCGGACACCCATGCATACCCCACAAGACATGCCACCAGAGGTCTCTTCACAGTCCCCAAGTCCAGAACGGACTATGGGAGGTGCACAGTACTACGTAGAGCCATGACTACATGGAACTCTATTCCACATCAGTAACTGATGCAAGCAGTAGAATCCGATAAAAAAAAAACAGGTAAAAATACACCTTGTGGAACAGCGGGGACTGTGAAGAGACACACACACAGGTACATACATATAGACACTCACGCTACACAAACGTACACATGGACGCAGTATTGTAAATATGTGATAGTGGAGTAGTGGCCTGAGGGAACACACTAAATGTATTGGGTAAAGTGTTATGAAATATAATGTCATGTCATATTTTAAATTGTATATAACTGCCTTAATGTTGCAGGACCCCAGGAAGAGTAGCTGCTGCCTTGGCAGCAGCTAATGGGGATCCTTAATAAATACAATACAAAAATAACATTTATTTTATAAAGTCCTTACATCAGTAGTTGTCACAAAGTGCTTTTCAGAGACCCAGCCTAAAACCCCAAAGAGCAAGCAATGCAGAAGCAGAGTGGCTTGGGGCTATGATGTGATATGCTTAGGATATTCTAGGTATTGTGAAACTGATTGAATTCTTCTCTCAATAGGTCCGGTGACAGAGGTGAAAACAGACATTTATGTGACAAGTTTTGGGCCTGTCTCTGATGTTGAAATGGTATGTACCGAATTAACAACTTGAAAAAGATGAATAGCCTAAAAAACGTTTGATTGATGTAGACAATGCACTTAACGTTTCATATAAGAAAAAAGTCACAACCTTAATTGTTTAGATTTTGGTTTCTGCTTCCTCAGGAGTACACCATGGACGTGTTCTTCAGACAGACATGGGTGGACAGGAGGCTGAGGTATGAGGGGCCTATCGAGATCCTCCGACTCAACAACATGATGGTCACCAATGTGTGGACTCCTGACACCTTCTTCAGGAATGGCAAGAAGTCTGTGGCACACAACATGACCGCCCCCAACAGGCTGTTCCGCATCATGAAGAATGGCACGATTCTTTACACCATGAGGTACTACATATACCAACATGCTTTACACCATGATGCACACATTACCCAGCATGCCAGTTTTTCACCATGCTAAGATGCTGACCAAACAGTCTGCGCTGCGAGCGCAAGTGTTGCAAAATACATGTACACATACATCCAAACTGCTCGCGGTCGTCTGCGTAGCCAGGCGCTAAAATATAACTTGGTTCTATTTTAGACGCTTGACGCACTGCAAGTCCTGCCTCTCCCATCTACTCATTGGTTTTTAGACGCATACTAACCCACCTGGGTGATTGAGAGATGAATCCACACTCCAGTCCAGTTGGTGGTGGAAATGCACCTTAAAGTTGGTTGCCAACCACTGTATAATATCCACAGAAGAAGATGAAGAAGAAGAAGAATGAACGAGGAGAAATTAATCAAAGAAAACTAACTAAAAACTAAGTTTCCCCTTTTATCTGTGGATCAATTGTCAGAGTAGAGGACATATGATTTTGTGTGACAAAAAAAATTCTAAAAAGATCCAGCAAAACAAATGAACATATGTGACCCACCGCCTCGATTCAGTCTTACGTAGCAACATTTTGAAATTGTGTTTTTTACATTGGATAAAAGTAGAGATGCAGGGCTACAAAATTGTATATCATACACTGCAGTTGAGGAATAATGGGAAAGTAATTCTGCTTTGAAAGTTGATAAATGTATAACCCCACTTTTGAGAAAATGGCCCTTGAATGTTTTGGTACAGCTACTGGAGAGCTCTTCTTTGTTTACACCTATTCAGCATCGTTCACACCCTCTTAAGCCTTAGCCACACCCATCTCTTTACAATGAGGAAAAACTTCAGGTAAAAATACACTTTATCTAGACCTTGGCCTATATCCTAATCTGACTTTGAAAGTATCTAGATAAATATATTGTATAAATATTTTATAATTATTAGATGATGCTTACCCAGACACTTGTCTAAATTGATGGGTCATGTGAAAGAAATGCTATAACCACCCCCCGGGCACATCTAGCTAAGTGGATGGGTCACTATTGTCTAGACATGTACTCATGTTCATGAAATAATCACCCCCAGACACACCTGGCTAACTTAATGGGTCATGTGGCCCCGTGTAGCTTAGTTGGTAGAGCATGGCACTTGCAACGCCAGGGTTGTGGGTTCGATTCCCACGGGGGGCCGGTATGAAAATGTATGCACTCACTAACTGTAAGTCGCTCTGGATAAGAGCGTCTGCTAAATGACTAAAATGTAAATGTAATGTGGAGTCTTTTGTTTAGACATGTAGCTAGCTTGCTAGCTATCTAAAAAATAAACCATAATCCGAACCCATAGCTACAGTACAAATGGATTGTCATAGCTAGCCACTATGCATAAAATGCTGGAGTATGAATCTGCAGGTAGCTAAAGCTAACCAACTAGGTTCAATGTTAGCTACCAAGCTAAAATTAGGCTATAACTAGCTTTTTTAATGGCTTTCTGAGATGCAAATAATATTACTACACAGATCATAATGGTATCATTAGCTAGTGAGCCAGCAATCTAACGTTCGCTAGCTAGCTAGTACACTTTAACTTGCAATTAAAATGACTTTCTGACAAAATTAGAAAAGTATAATATCTGAAAATGTAGCTAGACTCTTACCCGTATACATGGATGAACGCTTCACAGCAGCATGTCTTTTCTGTTTGGTTTGTAGCTAGCTACAGCTTGTTAGGCCCATTGTTGTGTCAAGTCACTCCGGTTCACACTGACCTTGTGCAGAAAAGTAGTCTATCAAAACTTTTTCCCACTGATCTTTGTCGATAGCGCCTGCTAAATTCTGTGTTGTTGGGAGCAGTAGCAACACTAATGTAATATATATTTTTAAAAGCTGCAGTAGCATGATTATCTATTAGCATGCTACATGGCAGATCAATCCGAACTCATCTCTCGGCATGTCCAGCCCATCCATTATCTCAGCCAATAATGGCTAGCGGGAAGGTTCCTGTCTTTTTCCGTGGCTAAACCAACTAGGCTCGTAATTTAACAATTGTATTCGTATTTACAGATGGCATACAAGTTTGTTATTAAGGCACATGAAAGTTCCTGTGAAGTAGTGACGTGCGACATACGCTAACGTTCTTGAAACAGGTCATATATGCATTTCAGGTAAAAATAACAACCTGATGTTTATCTTCCAGGACAAATAAGCTAGGAACAGCAAGCTAGCTAAATGTCCATGAATGTTTCATGTGTTTCGACCTGTCCCCAAATTAATATAGTTGGTTCACAGTTGGTTTTTGTATTTTAACCTGCGTGTCACGCGTCTGGTTGGGATAGACAAAATCAACATGTGCAGGATGGAGCCGGTTTGGTCAGCATGTGCTACTCAGCCTACCTACAGTATCCATCCTAAAGGTAGTGCTCCACGGTATAGATATGATACATGTTTGTCTTCTGTTTGGAGGGGTCCCTACTCTCTCCAACTCCCATTGGTTTTAATAAGTTTAGATGTATGTGTCCGCATAGGTTGACTATCAGTGCGGAGTGTCCCATGAAGCTTGTGGACTTCCCCATGGATGGACATGCATGCCCTCTCAAGTTTGGAAGCTGTAAGTATGATATCATATACTTTAAGTCTATTCTAATAGAAGTGACTTGAGAAGTGACTTAAAAAAGTGGTTCTTCATTCTTCTCTTGAGACTGTAATAAATTGTATGACATGCATACTTCGGAACACTGTATGTATTGACATACACCCCAAATCAAATCCGACTATACCGTTTCTTAGCAGATATTAAACCTGACACTGTTTATGTGCTTACATGCTTTAACAGTAAACTAATTGGTTCTCTGTCCTGACAGATTTAGTATGCAATGTTTAAAAAATACATATTTTCATACACAGATCACACAAATGTACCATGCCTGCTTATTTTTCCCTGCTTTTTGGTATATCTGAAAGGGGTAGGGGTTAAAAAATACATGGCAAATTAAAACCCACCTATACACCTTTCAAACCAATACATTTTTCTGCCAACTTTAGCATCCCACCAACTTTTTGCAAACTTTTCTTTATATATGAAAGTGACAAAGCCTCTACTTTTATTTTCGTCAACCGACCTAGTCATGAGTTCTGCCTACGGCTTAGTATGAAATGTTGCTGTAATTCTGAGGCGGCATTGGCACACAAAACTCTCTTAAGCTCTTGATGGTTGCTAGGCAGCGCCCGTTACCACTATCCTCCTGCCAGTTCTAAACTTTGTGAGGCAGGTCACTTCACCCATCTCTTCGCATAGCTCACCACATGCACTGTTTTCTTAACAACAGCTGGATGGAGCCATAAAGAATTACTGTGGGAATATATATCAATGAATGACAAATATATGGGCAGAAAGTAGGCTAATGCAATTGAAGGCATCAAATTGTTGCTTACTGAAACTCCCAAAGTCATCCAATTGTTATAATACATTTGACACAATAGCCTAGCTGCGTGTGTTCAAGTATTTCAGCACTGTTTCATGCTGCTTTGAGACATTACATTTACATTTTAGTCATTTAGTAGACGCTCTTATCCAGAGCGACTTACAGTTAGTGAGTGCATACATAATTATTTTATTTTGGGAATCGAACCCACAACCCTGGCGTTGCAAACGCCATGCTCTACCAACTGAGCTACATCCCTGCCGGCCATTCCCTCCCCTACCCTGGACGAATTGTGCGCCGCCCCATGGGTCTCCCGATCGCGGCCGGCTACGACAGAGCCTGGATTCAAACCAGGATCTCTAGTGGCACAGCTAGCACTGTGATGCAGTGCCTTAGACCACTGCACCACTCGGGAGACAAGCGTGGGGGATCGTCTTGATAAATCAATCAATGTCCGATTTTCCTTTTCATTGAATCTCCTTTTGGATATTGGTTAGGCTACAATTAGGCTGGAGAAATGTTAGCTAAGTTGAGGTGAGGGCAGCTCATGATCATCTTGTCTGGTTGGCTCATTTAGTAGCACTGATAAGAACATTTTGCCAGCATGTTATTTAGCTTAACAAGTGGATTATTTTGAACTTCACTCTCAGTCGCTTAGGCCTACCCCCGACCTAAAGCCTGTGACTTAATCAATCAATCAATCTCTGTCTGTATATTTGGTTAATTGGTTTCTGGCTGGGCAAATAAGTGGAGGTGGTATAGGTCATCTATTTGTTTGCTCATCTTTCACTGATCAGAAACATTTAGCATGCAATAATGTAGCCTAAATCAAGTGTAGGCCTATTATTTTGCTCAATCTCGTAAAGGCAACTCCAAAAGCCCGCGGAGGTGGTGAAATATGAACACGTGACTCACATGCTTTTGCTGTGGTATCATGATGAAGATACTCTCAATGTAAGACCTTATACCTGCTCCCTAACAAAGAAGTGTGAGGGTAGGAAAGAGAAAGTGGATAAAAAAAGCATGGGCTTTCCTTGGACTCTGTCCTGATTGATTTAGTATGCAATGTTTTAAGAATACATATTTGTACTTATACCCCTTTCATACACAGATCACACTAATTTACCATGCATGCTACTTTTCCCCTGCTTTTTGGTTAAAAAACATGACAAATTTAAACCCACATATACACCTTTCACACCATTAATGTTTCAGCCAACGTTTTGGATACTTTTCTTTATATATTGCTTAACACCTCCATAATGTTAAATGTAAAAAGCCCCCATGGTTTAGCAACACCCCCCAACCCCCAAATTTGCCAGTTACCCACTGATATATATAAAAGGGCTATACCTGCAAGAATGTGGTAAATAAGGGTCTGTTTGAAAGGGGGTCATCTAAACATTGCCTTATATTTGTTCACAGATAATATACCACATATTCTGTCTGGAATGGGTAGATGTGGTCAATATATCCCAGTTTGTCCCCAATTTTGTTTTGAGAAAAATACTACCATTACCGTTACCATATGCAGTGCCAAACTCGTGGCTTGTGGTATTCTTCCCATTTTGTCATATTTTGGGATTTCATACATATTCCCCAAGTAAGAAGTAATTCATTTTTTCTGACATTGATGCTAATAATAAATTACATTCAGTTTGTACCAAAAACAGAACAAAGAAACCCAAATTCAGCACTATTGATCATAATGAGCGTAACGGTCAGCAAAACAGTGACTTATCTCCAATGGAAGAATCTCTCAAATGAGCGTTCTGTCTTATCAGAAAACAGTAGAGGTTTAAAGATAGCATCTGCTGAGGGAAAAACAAAAGAAAGGAGGAGGATCGGAGGATGGTTCCCCCGCACTTCCCAACCCTCCCCCAATCTATTATCAGCAATTGTGACATTGTAGAGGTAGAGGACAAAATAGATTCCTCAGTTATCATTCAGTTACATTATTCTTGGTTTAACATAGTACCTCCCCCCACCTTCCCCACATCCCATCCTCCCATCACATCCTCCAATCCTGGCCCGAAGTCAGGGAAGCAGACATAGGATCCGATGGGGCCTGTAGCTCGGGAAAGGTCAGAATCTCTCTTCCCGCCGCAGGTTAGCTCAGACCTATTCTGGATCTCTCCAGAGCTGGTGTGAGTCGGCGCCCCGGCAGCGTTCCACTCCACAACCCGCCCCAGCCGGCCCATTTTCTCTACGCAGTTGGTGTCATGCCAACTTCGAGTCCCCCGTGGGAAACAGCAAATGGGAACAACAGACCCCGACATAAACCCAAACATGTGCTGTTGTTTTTCTTTCAGCCCTCTTATATGAACTCTCATGTCACATTTCAACGTTTTTGCACCATTTTTGCAACGTTGGATATGCAAAAAATTTGACATGTAACAGAGAGCTTGTGAGACCTGGCAGTGTGTTTAAAAGCAGACTCATTTAGCACACAGAAGACACCCAGACCGTTTATTACCATGCTATTGTACTACTCATTCTCAATCAAATTATGTTTGCATGTATTAAGCCAGTGAGGGATGTGCAGATCAAGTGGGGAAACCATGTGTGACTGGACTGCACACCATCACATCACACATCATTGTGTCTTTCAAATGCATTGTGATCAACTGACTAGATGAGGGAGATAGAAATGTTTCTCATGTTCACAAAGCTTAGAGTTATGAAGAGGATATCACTTACATACAGTAGTCAAACCTCATACACTACAATTTTAACATTTCCACTTATTGACGTTCTCTCTATCTCACAATAAGGCACTATCATCTCTCTCTCTCTCTCTCTCTCTCTCTCTCTCTCTCTCTCTCTCTCTCTCTCTCTCTCTCTCTCTCTCTCTCTCTCTCTCTCTCTCTCTCTCTCTCTCTCTCTCTCTCTCTCTCTCTCTCTCTCTCTCTCTCTTTCTCTCTCTCTCTCTCTCTCACTCTCTATCTCTCTCTGCTCTGCTCAATACCTCCATTATACAATATTATTATTTGCGCTACAACTTTGAATTTGCCTCAACCCCCCACTTGAGGGTTTAATCCATATATTTTCCTTCTCTCTCCACAGATGCATACCCTAAAACAGAGATGATTTATACCTGGACCAAAGGACCACAGTATTCAGTGGAGGTTCCCCCAGAATCCTCCAGCCTAGTGCAGTACGATCTCATTGGCCACACTGTCAGCAGTGAGGAGGTCAAGTCAATCACAGGTATGGTGGGCCATTGGTTAGATACAGTAGATATCCCCAACTCTGATGATGGTGATGCCATTCTTCAGTTCTTAATTCAGTTTGGAATGTTTTCTGTATAGTAGCTTTGTCCAAAATAACTAGTTAAATGTTTATTTTATCATGATTCACTTTTATGCTACTGTCTCCAAAGGCACTCGCTATGGTGTCAGCAAACATTCATGATTTTGTTTGACGCTGTACACCTCAGAGAACAGTGAAGACACAATAAAAACTAGCGGGAGTCCATCATATTCTGTGCTCTTGCTCATTGTCTCATGTCAGTCTGTTTTTTATGGAACTAATCAACCGTGATATGTATGGCTATCTTCCAGGTGAATATGTGGTGATGACAGTGCACTTCCACTTGAAGAGGAAAATGGGCTACTTCATGATTCAGACGTACATCCCCTGCATCATGACAGTAATCCTCTCCCAAGTGTCCTTCTGGATAAATAAAGAATCGGTCCCGGCTCGAACAGTCTTCGGTACGTACACAAATCCCGCCATTCTGTAAAATACTTCTGTTGAGAGGCAGAGAAAATGCAAATGTGAAGTGTGTGAAGAGTGAAGTGCCTCATCTGTGTGTCTCTTAGTCTCCATTTTCATATTGTGACTGTGTGCTGCTGAGCAATCGACTTTGCTGTCTTTAGCCTCTTACGTAACCATTAACGGCTACGATTCATTAAATGGGTGTTACACTTCCATTGTTGTTATCCATCAAGTGGCAGTTGCATTTGCTAATACCTGCCCATTTGTTTACTAACATAAGTGGTAGGGCCCCACTATGGGTGGAGTCAGAGATTAAGGAGTGCACCTTAAAGCCAGGAACTATATACTCTAGCACAGTGGTTCCCAAACTGTGGGGCCCTGGGGGCGCACCCCACAGTTTGGGAACCACTGTGCTAGAGTGTATATTACAAGTTCGTAGGAGACCAAGCAAATAGAGGATATTTACTTAACATCGGGTAAGGTAGCCTTGAAGGTGCAAGGTTCCCGGCTTAAAGGTGCACTCCTTAATATCTGACTCCACCCACTTCTGTTTGTTAACAAATGGGCGTTCATCTTACTCTTGAAAGTTGTAATAGCAGAATGTACAAGGTGCAATTTCGAAATTGGGTAGTGCATCATCAGTTTTCCTCTTGTCATGTCAGTCATTGCATACCTTAGAGAGCTATTTATAACTTGTCAGAAATGTCCAGATCAACTAGCCCATGTCAGCTAACGTTTTTAGCTAGGTTTTTTAGCCCATAGATTTTGTTGTAATATTTGAGTCACTCAAATATCACATTAATACACATTAGACATGTCAAAATGTATAGAATTGCATGGAAATTAGCTTTAACACCTGCAAAATCTTCTCTCCGCCAATAAGAGGGGTGTGAAAAGTTTGTGTCATGAACAGTGCTTGTGTCCATAGACAAGACGTGGTGCATGTGCGCCCGTAGCTGGAAGGGGGGCCTGAGTGAAAAGCTTTGGGAACCCCTGCTCTAGCACTAATCAATTCCACTTTCCATTTCCATTTCTTGCTAAATCTGGGTTTTACAAGTATTCCATGTCAATCAGCATTTCTTATGTGTTACCCCATGAGCTTGGGACAACTCACACTGTATTACATAATTGACCCTTTGCCAAGCCCCGCCCCAGAATTTTGGGCAACCAATCGTTCCAATGTATAGCAACTGATTGTGTTGGGTTTAATTCAGAAGAAACATTTCGGAAAGCATTCAGTTGTTCTGACTAGGTATCCCCCTTTCCTTTTTTTTTTTACTGTTGTTGAGTCCAACACCTCTGACAAGCTCACGTTTGAAACACATGAAAGCCATTGAGGGCATTACAAAAACTGAGAGTTTTCATCATATAACACATTTTTTAAATGGCTAAATAATTTAACAGTGCACCATGGGTACTTGCTACTGTGATTCCTGAAATGCAGAGCCAGTTGAAGGAGTATTTTTCCCCCTCCGAAATTATACTTTTGTTATATTGTTTGATAGCTCAGCTGGTTAGATAGCTCTCAATCTTATTAACTACCTAACGTTGCTAACGCTAGCTAGCTAGCCAGTTGATATAACAAATCAAATTGTATTGGTCGCGTACACATATTTTGCAGATGTTATTGCGGATGTAGAGAAATGCTTATGTTCCTAGCACCAACAGTGCAGTAATACCTAACAATACAAAACAATGCACGCAAATCCCCCCCCAAAAAATTAAGTAATGAAGAAATATATAAATATTAGAACGAGCAATGTCAGAGTCCGGAATTTAAATATACGTACAGTGGGGAGAACAAGTATTTGATACACTGCCGATTTTGCAGGTTTTCCTACTTACAAAGCATGTAGAGGTCTGTAATTTTTATCATAGGTACACTTCAACTGTGAGAGACGGAATCTAAAACAAAAATCCAGAAAATCACATTGTATGATTTTTAAGTAATTAACTTGCATTTTATTGCATGACATAAGTATTTGATACATCAGAAAAGCAGAACTTAATATTTGGTACAGAAACCTTTGTTTGCAATTACAGAGATCATACGTTTCCTGTAGGTCTTGACCAGGTTTGCACACACTGCAGCAGGGATTTTGGCCCACTCCTCCATACAGAACTTCTCCAGATCCTTCAGGTTTCGGGGCTGTCGCTGGGCAATACGGACTTTCAGCTCCCTCCAAAGATGTTCTATTGGGTTCAGGTCTGGAGACTGGCTAGGCCACTCCAGGACCTTGAGATGCTTCTTACGGAGCCACTCCTTAGTTGCCCTGGCTGTGTGTTTCGGGTCGTTGTCATGCTGGAAGACCCAGCCACGACCCATCTTCAATACTCTTACTGAGGGAAGGAGGTTGTTGGCCAAGATCTCGCGATACATGGCCCCATCCATCCTCCCCTCAATACGGTGCAGTCGTCCTGTCCCCTTTGCAGAAAAGCATCCCCAAAGAATGATGTTTCCACCTCCATGCTTCACGGTTGGGATGGTGTTCTTGGGGTTGCACTCATCCTTCTTCTTCCTCCAAATACGGCGAGTGGAGTTTAGACCAAAAAGCTATATTTTTGTCTCATCAGACCACATGACCTTCTCCCATTCCTCCTCTGGATCATCCAGATGGTCATTGGCAAACTTCAGACGGGCCTGGACATGCGCTGGCTTGAGCAGGGGGACCTTGCGTGCGCTGCAGGATTTTAATCCATGACGGCGTAGTGTGTTACTAATGGTTTTCTTTGAGACTGTAGTCCCAGCTCTCTTCAGGTCATTGACCAGGTCCTGCCGTGTAGTTCTGGGCTGATCCCTCACCTTCCTCATGATCATTGATGCCCCACGAGCTGAGATCTTGCATGGAGCCCCAGACCGAGGGTGATTGACCGTCATCTTGAACTTCTTCCATTTTCTAATAATTGCGCCAACAGTTGTTGCCTTCTCACCAAGCTGCTTGCCTGTTGTCCTGTAGCCCATCCCAGCCTTGTGCAGGTCTACAATTTTATCCCTGATGTCCTTACACAGCTCTCTGGTCTTGGCCATTGTGGAGAGGTTGGAGTCTGTTTGATTGAGTGTGTGGACAGGTGTCTTTTATACAGGTAACGAGTTCAAACAGGTGCAGTTAATACAGGTAATGAGTGGAGAATAGGAGGGCTTCTTAAAGAAAAACTAACAGGTCTGTGAGAGCCGGAATTCTTACTGGTTGGTAGGTGATCAAATACTTATGTAATGCAATAAAATGCAAATTAATTACTTAAAAATCATACAATGTGATTTTCTGGATTTTTGTTGAAGTGTACGTATGATAAAAATTATAGACCTCTACATGCTTTGTAAGTAGGAAAACCTGCAAAATCGGCAGTGTATCAAATACTTGTTCTCCCCACTGTATATGATGGTGTGAATAGACATTATGGACAGTAAATGAATAGAAAAGGTGTGTACAGCAGTAGATATACAGGATGAGCCATGACTAGAATACATTATGTACATATAAAGTGGGTGAAACAGTATGTAAACATTATTAAAGTGACCAGTGTTCAATGACTATGTTCATAGGGTAGCAGTCTCTAAGGCGCAGGGTTGAGTACCGGGTTGTAGCCGGCTAGTAACTGTGACTAAAGTTCAGGGTAGGTTACTGGGTGGAGGCCGTCTAGTGGTGACTATTTAACTGTCTGATGGCCTGGAGATAGAAGCTGTTTTTCAGTCTTTCAGTAGTTAGCGAAGGGTCAATTGAGAATCCATTTATTATATTATAGTCTTCATGATCTTTATTCTATTTTATACCCATTTAGTTTTACTAAACTGAACTTAGTTAATCTCTCTTGGCATTTCTTTGAGTGAGTTGTAGAGGATTAGCTGTGTAGGATAGGGTCATATTAGGATAGGAGTGTAGTGTATGTGATTGAGTAATGTAAGGTTATCAACTACTGGTCAGTGATTTCTGAGGAGTACTGTTGCGTTCCTGCTAGCTTCATCTATTCTTTCACTATTGATTGCTGGGGTGTTGTTTATGTGGGTGTCTGAGGTGTGCCTTTCACGAGCACCACTGTAAAATAATAGGAGGCTATTTTGTTCCTGAAAAGTTGTGTTTTGGCTGATCCAGTTGGGTAGGTAGTTGATAAGTAGGTTTAGTATGATGAGTAAATCATTTTTTAAAATTATTTATTTAACCTTTATTTTATCAGTCATACTGAGACAATGGTCCCTTTTACAGATGAGCCCTGAATTACAGAAATTACACACATCAAAATATAAATACAAAATGCAAGCAGAAAGAAAAACACGGTCATAAAAAACAAACAGTAATAAGGTGCTCAATCAGCTTTCTGAATTGCCCTAGCTGATTCTGATTTACCTAACTGAGACCAAAGGAATTTCTAGAGTTAGCCATCCCTGAGACTGGGTGTGGTAACTCATAAGTCTAAAGTTTAGTAAGGATGTTAGGTACAGTGGGAGTTTTTGTAAAAGGGCTTTATACATGAAAACATAGCAATGTATCAACCTACGCGTCATCAGAGGGCCAACCAACTTTCTGGTAGAGAATGCAGTGATGAGTACTAAAACTGTCGCCAGTAATAAAGCGTAGTGTGCTATGATAAACTGCATCTAACGGCTTTAATGAAGTGGCAGCTGAGTTTACCATTTATAGATGACGTCGCGATAGTCTAGGACCGATAGGAACGTCGACTGAAGAATCTGCTTTCTACTGTTTAGCGAGAGGCAGGACCTATTTCTATAGAATAACCCCATTTCTATTCTCAGCTTCTTAACTAACTCATCAATATGCTTTTTAAAAGAGAGCTTTTAATCTATCCAGATGCCCAGATATATGTAAGCACGGACACAATCAATATGGACACCATCCAAAGTACATATGTTTAAATCATCAGAGTTATTTTTATGCGCTCTAGAAAACAACATATACTTAGTTTTACCTGCATTCAGTACTAATTTCAGGTCAATAAAGTTTTTCTGTAATACAATGGAGGCAGACTGTAGTTCAGATAGAGCCTGGTCAAACGTGGGAGCAATAGCATACACAACAGTATCATCGGCAGGTTAACATTTTGTTAATGTAAACAGTAAAAACTACAGGACCCAGAACTGACCCCTGCGGGAAATCGTTATGTCCAGAAAACCTGATTTAACGCCATCAGTAGATACACATTGGGGCAGTTTTGCTGACACAGATTATGCCTAATCCTAGACTAAATTGCACTTTTACACTAGACTAACTGAAATGGCATTTCTCAGACATGGTTTAAAATAGTCTCAGACTTGCCCAAGTCTAGATTGAAAAAGTTTGATTTTCAGAAGGTCGATTAGAATTAATCTAGATCTAAGTGAAGGATTCAATTAAACCTGGCCAGAGGAATAAGGGGGGCAGAGAGCTGCAGCAAAAATGGATCAAGCATATCAGCCCTGGGGGATTTTTTTTCATCAATCTTAAGCAAGGCATCTAGTACATCACAGGTAGTAAAATGAAAACAATGAGTCAGCTAGAGGCTGGCAGAGGGAAGAGCAGTCGATTGACTGACCAGGGTCAATTTAAACCACTGTTTCTCTCAAATAAAAACCCTGCCGAGATAAAATGATGATTAAAATAAGCACATATTCCATTCTTCTCAGTTATGATGCCAGAGTCAGAAAGAATTTGTTTAGCCAGGGAAGAAGAGGAATTGGTACTCTTCAGTGCATTCACTGTTTTCCAATGCTTTTTGCCATTTCATGTGTTGATGAAAAGATAAATGAGCACCCACTTTTGGCACTGTTTTGCATGCTACCCCAGATGTGAGTATCTGCATCTGTTGCATCTGTGAGCCTATTTGTTTTGCCCGCTGACTTTCTTACTGGGACAAACATATGATCGCAGAGTCCATGGGTTCTACTCATTTCCTAGCAGCTGTAGAGGCAAGTGCGTGTTATTTCACAGCCACACTGATTCACACAACGCCCCAGTGCGTCCCCTCCCACCACCTGTCTCAGCGGAGAGCTAATGAAACTGTCCAATATGTGACAGGAGGGTGTCGTGGGAACATAAATATTGTCGCATTGGCCAAACCCCCAGGCTGTGGGGCTATTACAGTACTTGTGTGTGTGTGTGTGTGTGTGTGTGTGTGTGTGTGTGTGTGTGAGAAAGGAGGGAAAGAAAGGAATTGACTTGAGGGATGATTATGAAGCTCCCCCTGGTGGCTCAAGATGTTATTATCTGGTGAAATGTATGGCATATAGCATAAAGCTAGCCTGGTCTCAGATCTGTTTGTCCAATCAATGTTTGGCATGATAAAGGCCATAGGGGTTGGCAAGACAGCACAAACAGATCTGGGACCAGGATAATGTGAAACTGGCTCCGCCTCTTGAACATGCACTGGTCATGTTTCTACACATAGTTCAGTTGAGGGATTGATATGCATCCAGCATTTCATAGGTGGCATAGCAGCTTGCTTTTGTAGATTCTTTCATCTCTATATAACCTTTTAATCTATACACTGACCGATGGTAAGTCTGTGTCCATCCTCAATTTGACTGAATATGGTCTGAGCTCTGTGTGGGATGTGTTCGTGTGTGGCGCATGCCTGCATGCGTGTGAGTGCATGTGTTGGGAGAGTGTCATGTCAACCATTCACTTTTTTTCTCAGTATCAATTCTCAATGATCCATTGTTTTTTAATATAAATAATTCTCTACCATCTGAGTGCTTACTGGAATATTTCTCAATCTCTGTTGTATCCCATACGCGCTCATGGAGACAGCAGAGACAGAGAGGAAACACTGAAAGCACTAACATGTGGGCCCTGAACAACTCTGAGGACATTCATTGTCACTCACAATCCTCACAGTAGCCTACTGGATGTTGTAAGTAGATGCAATGTTTGAACACCTATATATCATGAAGTCAGAAAGACCAACACAGCCATGCAAGGGCCTCCCCATGGGAACATGTACCAACATAGCAGAAACGTATAACATCTGGTGGGCTACTGTGAGGATTGTGAGTCACAATGAATGTCCCCAGAGTGGCTCAGGGTCCACATAAACATTATGCATACCCTATTGTTTTATATATAACAGGTGCCACAGGTGCCCTAAAGGGACAAACTAGAATATCAATGCACAACAAGTGTAGAATAGAACAACACCATTTGTATAATGTAAGCAAGCCCCATTTTGTCCTAATCCAAGCAACTCCAAAGCAATGCATTCTAATCTAAACAACGTGTCACAAGATGAGGAATGAAAACTGTATTCCAACAGAAACAGTCATTGCTATTACTCATTAATTTGATTATTATAGCTCATCTGATTAAATCAGTCACACCTCATTCATCTGTACCAAGAATGATTGTGCGTCTGATCTTGCCAATTAATCCAATGAAATACACACATTTGTGCTATATCCTAATATTAAAGCTAATATCGACCTCTGGAAGTCCTTTGCCTCATACACTTACATATTCATCCTGTGGTAGGCAGAGTTTTGGAGATGGAGGATGAAATCATGTTTCTCTCCGCCTGGCGGTACAGATTGTTCTATATCTCTAACATAAAGGGGATTTTCTCTGAATCACATTACAGCTATTTGCTAATAATCCCAAGGACAAGTGACCTGCAAGCTTACTATAACTCCCCAGTTATTGTAAAGGTATAATCCTTGGCGTGGATCCGATTTGGTTATTGTTTTAAAAGGAAATGGAGGCGAGGGAAAGTAGGCTATGTGGGGTGGTCGCTAGGGCAACATCATTAGGATGGAAAACACAGGAAGCAAAGGTCAATAAGTCATCAACTGGATGTTTACAGTACATTCTAGTGTCAGAAACGTTCAGTTTCCTATTTTTCATATTAAGTATTAAGGCTGGCATTCATTGATTTGTGTGATGGATTTTCACAAACTATTTTCGTAGATTTTTCTAAGTAGTTGTATCCCTGAACTAGCACACCTGATTCAATTAGTCAAGGGCTTGATGATTAGTTGAGAAATTGAATCAGGTGTGCTAGCCCTGGAATAAATCAAATACATTGAACAGCTGGGGGTCCCCCAGGAAAGGTTTGAGTAATGCTGATATAGAGGGACGGTTAGGCTTATACCTACTGTTTTAGTATGTATTATTTGGGTGTGTTGACATAACTATTATTTTGGTTACAACTTACAGCCAAGGTTACAAATGTTTTCTAATTTCAGGCATCACCACGGTCCTGACCATGACCACGTTAAGCATCAGCGCGCGTCACTCCCTCCCCAAAGTCTCCTACGCCACGGCCATGGACTGGTTCATTGCCGTGTGTTTCGCCTTCGTCTTCTCCGCTCTCATCGAGTTCGCTGCCGTCAACTACTTCACCAACGCAGAGATGGAGAGACTGAAAAGAAAGCCGCTAAAATGCCCGCCGGCGCCCCAAACAACCCCAGTGAAAGTGAAGGATATGGAGGAAGTTCTGCAGGTGTGTTAAGACCTATCCTCAATCCCTATACCCTTCTCCACTTCAGAGACTGAAGTGTGCACTTGTTCACTCCCCTTCGTTAATTTGTATGCTGATCATCAAATGGAGATTCATTGCAAGTCTAAAACATCGAGAAAAATACATACTAAAACGTCCTGTTTTTTGTTAGACAATACAGTAACCGAAGGTTACTTTAGCATTGATAATTGGTTAAGTAAGTTTGGAGGCTTTCTCTCTCTCTTTTCCTGCCTCTCCCTCTCTCCCTCTCTCTCTCTCTCTCTCTCTCTCTCTCTCTCTCTCTCTCTCTCTCTCTCTCTCTCTCTCTCTCTCTCTCTCTCTCTCTCTCTCTCTCTCTCTCTTCCTGCCTGTTTCTCTCCCTCTCCCCTCTCTTTCTCTCTGTACCTCACTCTCTGTTTTCCTGCCTGCCTGTCTCTCTCCCTCTCCCCTCTTTCTTTCTGTACCTCTCTCGCTTTCTCTTTGTACCTCTCTTTCTGCTGGCCTTTTCTCCCTCCTTCTCCATGATATCATGAGCTAGAAACATTAGCTTCCTGAAGGCCAAATAGGAATAGTAAATGGTGAATACATGTTAAGTTTGTCCCATTTAGAGTACAGCTGCACAGCTGTCTGCTTAGATCAATGCACACCATTTGTAATCCAGCACAGAGGCTTAGCAATGTTATCCCAGAAAATTCGAAGTATGCTCTGAATGTCCTACATTTGCTTGCTTTCTCATAATAAAAAAATAACTCTTCAGCATTAAGATAAGCGTGTTTTGAAGACCTGTGTTATAGAATATTATTACCATTTTCATTCTTTACCTATAGTTACAAGAAGATGCGAACATGTTTGTAAGAGCCATTTTGGTAATACAAAAAACGAACAGCTCCTACAAAGTTGTTGGTTTTGCACGTCATACTGCATGAACAGAACTACACAATGTTTACATTCAGCATTTACAGTATGTTCTCATGAAAGGGTATTCGTGTAATGGGGGTTGACCAAACATGTTTATATTGAATTCATTACTCCATGCATTTGCATTCTACTGTAGTTAGAACACAATCCTTCATTTAAGGGCAAATTACATGCGGTGCTAACTGTCTCATGTCACAGTCCAACTGTTTGATGGCTGATACCGACCAGAAAACAGCCATACGTTCCCCCTGTACAGCCCGATGACTACTTAAAGTTGTCCTATGGATCTCAAATCTTTGTGTGGAGTAATCGCACCTGAATGCAGTTTAGTGACAACGGCACATCAATGGATTAGCAGGTTGCCACAGCAACACTGCTGGGGCACATCTGTATATGTTCCAGAAGCCCCGGCGCCAGAAGATTAACTCTTGTCCTACAGAGCTGCAGAACCAGCCCCACACGGCTAACAGTGGGGAAATCTGCTCGGCATTAGGGCCCGTGGTGTGTATTGATGTGGCTCAGATGTATCTAAACCTTTTGCCTCCCAGCCATAGTGATGTCAAACCTAGCCTAGTGTCCACAGCTCTGCGCCTCACATCTCTCAGACAGGAAGCAATACGCTTAGCCAGTTAGCACATTCCAGTAGGGAGTCAGTGGGGGAATTATCACTGGTGAGGCTATGGTGCTGTGGTTAGAGTGCAGCACCTCCCTCTACTGGGGCTGAAGCGCTATGCTAGCTCTCAGGAGATAAGCTCGTTTGATGTTCTACTACACTGTCATGCCGCCCCATGGAACAGCACTGTTGTGAAAACCTACACAAATAACGTCTGTGAGCTGGGCTATTCTACCACGCAGTGCAGTATGTATGCAGACTAAAGACTGTCGGCGGTATAAAGTAGTCATATTCGGGCACATAGGCAAGGTTTATAATCAGAGGTTCCTGACTGTTTTAACCTGATATAGCTCTACATAGTTCATATTTATCAGCTTAATACAATTGTCATATTGTGCCTTACCACAAAGAATCAAGTAAAATAGTAACATTTAAATCAAATTGCTCCACTTCAAGGGATTTGCTTGTTGTTGCACATGAGTGAACTATGTGCACGATTCATTCACATCACTGCAGTTTTGGGTTGATGGTTCTTTTTCCCTCTCCACAGCACAACCCTGACACCAATGGTAACCTGCGGAAACGGATGAACTACATGTCCCAGCAAGATGGCCAGAATGCTGAGTCCAACAGCACAGCAGTGGCAAGAGGGGTAACCAGGGAACAACCCCAGTCTTGCCAATCATCTTCATCCAAGGGTGCGACTGGCGGCGCCATCATCCTACCACACTCCAGCCCCGGCCTTGCCAGCCAACCCAACGCTTCCTCCTCGACCCTGTCCGCCATGAACACGCCCCCGGCTCCACCCACCACCCCGACAATACCAGCCAACCAGACCCAGCCCACCGCTGACTCCTCGCTCCAGGACCTTCTAGGACCCAGACTGGAGCACATTCAGCTGATGGGCAAAAATGAGCCCAAGCAGTCGCCATGCTCCCAGCCAACCACCACCAGTATGGGCGGGACCAGTAAAATTGACAAGTACGCCCGCATCCTGTTCCCAGTGTCCTTTGGAGCATTCAACATGGTGTACTGGGTGGTTTACTTGTCGAAAGACACCATGGAGGCCAAATTTAGAGGCCAAATCTAGTTTCTAGCTCCTCTTGGGGTCATTTTGGGAATAATTTTCTACAAAATGTAAAATGACAGGAGAAAAAGAGCTTTGGAGACATGGGAGATTAAATCATTTTTCAACTAACAAGGAAACCAAATATGCTGGACAAGAGCCTCAAAAAATTACACCCAGGAATACTAATCTCAGCACATCTGTTTGTTTCATTTTCGAGAGGTCTTCTGCGAATGAGCATGGTAACAAAACCATAAAACCATTCCAAATATGTCTGAATCTAACAAATATCACAACTATCCCCTGGGTGGCCATATCCAATATGCAATACAGTAACGGTTTGATGGATTGGTTAGTTGTTTTAATGTTAGTAAGTACCCTCGCTGAATTACAATACAGTGTCACCTGATCTTAGCGAAAATGGCTAATAGGTCCCTCTAGTCTTAGCAGGCATTGCTCCAATGACAAAGGATAAGGACAATATCACTGAAGATGAGCTGGACACACTACAAGTCGCAAGGTGTCGAGCAGAAGAACAGAGATGCATATGAACAAGAAGACTTTGGGTGTATTTTCTCCCTTACTGATGACCACAAGTAAATGACTGGGTATGTTGTCATTTGTTCTGGTATCAAAAGTAGATACATTTTTGTCCACTCAAATCTAATTTGCACTTCCAAGCCTGTAGAGCGAACTTTGACCAAGCTTTGTTAACTAGCGTAGAATGAGGATACCAATTACCATACGTGCTGGCCTATTTACTTCATACAGTACCCTACAAACAACATTTCCTGGGGGTAATGTTCCTCTAAGCCCCATTAGTTCCCTCCAAAAACGTTCTAGGAAGTCTTTGTTTGAATGTTCAACTATTAAGCGAAGATTATTTTTCTTTAACATTGTCCGTTTCTGGAACGTTGTGTACTAATGTATTCATTAATCAATATTAACTTACAAAGGAATATATTGTAGGAACCTGGTGAAACCCTTTGGTTTGGGAACATTTCCTCTGAGTTTGGGGGTGTTTATTTTTTAGCAAATGTGGGGCTTGATTCATACGGTTTTCATGGGCCTGTCATGTGCGGTACCTGTTATTGTTATTGTGAATCATGTGTGCAGAGGGCAGTGGAAGGGTCATTCCCCATATCCAAATTCCTACCATTAATGTAGAATGACATGCACTACCATGAGTCCATCAGAGACACGCCCAGAAGTTCTGTTGGTTACCCACTGAGTGCACCACGTCATTTCAACGTGGAAATGTTGGTAATATTTGGTTGAGACGTTGATCAATAAGATTTCAACCTTTATTCACCCACTCAAAAAGAAAGGAATCATTTTGTTAAATTCCCAATGTGTTATCACTATGCTTTCAACCATCTAAAAGCACAACCAAATTCCAATGGAAAAACAATGTCTGATTTTTGGTTTAGTTGTCATCTAAATGTGTTATTACTGCGCTTTCAGCCATTTTAAAAGCACAACAAAGTTCAAATGGGAATACAATGTCAGATATTTTGTATTTATACAACAACTTAATGTGTTATCACTGTGCTTCATCGAATAGCACAACCAATTGACCTGGACTGCAGTTGAGATTACATTAAAAGTACATAGTGCAAGTGATCAATGCTGTTCGAGATTCAGTGCAGATTATTATAGCAATTGTGAAGATCTCCACAGACCTGTGACCTTTGCATGCTATCTTGAACATGCACGCTTTCTATGATTAAATAAGAAGACATTTAGTAACAGTAACCTTAATGTGGCCATGGGTGTGTTACTCATTTTAAGGTTGGATAAATACTGTTACATTAGTTTGTAAGATAGCCTTAACTTTATGCTATTTACTGTATTACAAAAGTAACATTGAATTGTGTTTGGTTGACAACGCAACTAAATATCAACATTTAAAGGAGATGTACTGTATGTAATGATTGGATAGTTTCATCTGAGCCACTGGCTTAATCCTATTCTTTAACGTTGAGTTTTGGTTGAGATGGAGACTTATTAATTTGTAGACCAATTGGAATTAAAGCCAGTCTAAGTCAGTGGCAGAGATGGAACTATCCAAGCAGAAAATACATCTCTTTCAAATGTTGATATTTGGTTGCACTGACAACCAAACACAGTTCAATATCCAGCTTGTCTACAAATGAATAATTGATATGTTGGATTCACGTCTTCATCTCAACCAAAAATCTAAGTTAAACAAAATGTAAATGCACTTTTGAATGAAGTTTGATTTGATTAAGTCCTATTCTTTAACTTTGATTTTTGGTTGAGATGGAGATGTGAATCCAACATATTAATTATTAACTTGAAGATTACATTTTAAATCAGCCAAAGCTTGAAACCCTAGGCCTATATGTATTGTCTATATTTAGTTGAACCCTGGGTTGAATTTAAAACAATAGCTGTTGATAGCACATGCAATATAGGCCTAAATAGTATAATTGATGATATATGACTTATAAAGTATGATTGCATTTCATTTGCTCTGTTAAACCTACCCCTTGGAATGACTTCTATAGCAACAGTGAATCTAATTAGTTATTAAGAGATCTCGCAATAGTCATTCTCACATTAGCACATTGGTAGTAGTCAGTGACAAATATCAAAGCTGAGCAGATCTTGGTTAAAACCCTGGATGGGAGACCAAAGTGTAGCTGTAGATAAATCAATTCTCCAGTCGGAGGTGCTGCCCAGCCTATAGTTTTTTTCTGATAGTGGATATAATGTTGAAGATCTGACATTGTTTCAAAGGTACAAATTCAACATATTTTATACAAGGTTTGTCTATGTTGAAAATTGGTTTCCATTATGACATAATCCTGTGGTTTAAATATCACCCCAAAAAAAACTGTTTACGTTGAGGACTTTTTTCAAATCCATTGAATTTTCCATGTAGATTCCACGTCACCATACATTGACAAATTAAATTGAAACAACGTTGATTCAACCAGTTTTTGCACAGTGGGTAGGGACTTGAGATGGCAAGGAAGTGGGAAAGTGTGTAATTCTCTCTGGTCGTTAGGTATCATTTCATAGTGTGTTAGCCTTGAACGTCGAGGGTCTTTATAGGGTCTCTATGCCAACTTTGGACAGCTTTCCACTGATAAGTCACAGGATTCTACATGGTCAGTTTTTACACTTGTGCCATGTCCATAGCAGCCATGTGACCCCCTCTTACTGTAAAAGTGTCCTTTTGTCTAATCTATCCCTGAGGGCAACTCTCCTCTCATGTTGTCAGCTGAGGTCATGTCACCTGCAGAGGCATGGTCGGTGATCATCCTGATGCTTGGTTTCCTGTAATGCTAGTGGCTATTATCACCCAGACAGGTCACACATAGTTGGCCCCTCAGTCACTGTTGACGTAATAGTGCATTTCCTGCAGGTGGGGCTCAAAACAGAGAGGCTGATGGACAGATGAAGATGTTTGCCTCAGTTTCATGTCTCCTCAATGCACTCATGTGTGAAACTGATTCTGCCCCCCCAACCACACACACACACACACACACACACACACACACACACACACTCATCGTCCCCTTAACAAAACACACATCCACGTACAACAGCACACACTCTTTAAGGACCTTGTTAGCAGCAGGCAAGATGGTGTTTTGATGTATTTCTATATGTTCTATTTCCCAGCTGTCCCCATTGTTTTCTCTGTCTCAATAACACACCTTGCCTAGGGATTGATGTGGGTGTCACCGGTGGGTCGCCTTGCTTGTTAAACAATCTCAGGCTAGACGGCGGCCGGCTAATGAAAGTTAGGTCTTACGTAAAGAGCTCCTGGATGCTGTTTGGGAGCGACAGAACAGAGGAGAACAGAGGAGAACAGAGGGGAAGTGTAGTGAGTATAGTGTAAATAGCCAGAGTGCTCTTAAAGAGGATAAAGACGTGGTTGACTGGTTACGTCTGATACTTAAGCATCTCCCTGGGTGTTTAGCAACAATGGAGCGGGAGCGGAGGGAGGTAGGGAGGCATTACCCAGACTCAAGGAAGAAACACATCAACATCACTGTTTCTTTTCTCTCTTACATTTTTTTTTACAGGCCCTCGGTGTGTTGTTTGTTCTATGTCTTGAATATTTAAATGAGACTGCTTAGAAGAAGCAGTCCTGTGGATATTATGTGTTAACGCACAGCAAACCTGGGCATAAACTGTCCACCACTGTTACGCCCAAGTGTTTAAGTTTAAAAAAAATTGGTCACTAAAGATGTTCTCAGAGACATGGTCCTGAAGGTCAATAGTTCAATTTATGGGACATACGTTGGTTTTCATAATGCCCTGTCCATTGTTGCATAGTCATCAGAAACACATAACTCTTTCAAAGGTATTTTTTTATCATATGTATTTTCAGTTCAATAATATGTGGGGTTACTTTTCAGTGTAATTGTGTCTTACACAAAAGTCTTGTGAGGTTTGTGTTCTTATGCGGTAACTATAATTTCAGCTTGGAGATCACGTTAAGCTTTCCTCCACCCGTTTGTATGGCTTTAACGATTACTGTTATACTGGACTCAGGTACAGAGCTTTGTCTTTGTTTTCTGTTTTAGGGATAAAGCCTATTCCTCGATCTACTGCCATTGGAAGAGAATCAGATTTGGTAAATGACTTAGCAATGGAAGTTTTGTCTCGGAGAAACACTGGAGATTGAAAATGATTTATTGTGCAATCAGTTATGTGAGCAAATATCCATAATCGTCTTTGGACTGCCTCCAGAGACCAGAACCAAGCCCAGGAGAGAAATATAACTGCAATAAGGATTGGGATGGCATACACGTGGGCGGAATAAAAAGAAAAATACATTATGACTTCTTTCCAAGAGGTCAACCCTTACAAAAAATGGTGAACTCCTCCTGACTGTACATACAACAATAACTGAATGTCTTTGTACAAAATACTGACGTTTTGTGTTTTGTAGTCAAGATCATATTTATCATTGCTCTATGCAAGACTAACACTTTAGAATTGCGACATAGTTGCCCATGCTGGGTTCCTTGGTGAGGAAGTGA